GAAAAAAAAGTTTCAACTTGTCGGTGGTAGTGAGGGTAGTGGGGAATTGAAAAATAAATTCTAGAATAAATGTTATGTTGATAAAAAAGTTTCAACAAGTCGGTGGTAGTGAGGGTAGTTTAAAATAAAAAAAAAATTTTGAAAAAAATGTTGATATATAGATTTTAAAAAGTCGGAGGTAGTGAGGGTAGTGGCAAATTGAAAAATAAATTATTGAATAAATGTCGATAAAAAAGTTTCAACTTGTCGGTACTACAATTTTTTTTATTCTAAACTACCCTCACAACCACCGACAAGTTGAAACTTTTTTATCAACATTTATTCAAGAATTTATTTTTCAATTCCCCACTACCCTCACTACCTCCGACAAGTTTAAACTTTTTTATCAACATTTATTCAAGAATTTTATTTAAATTAAAAACTACCCTCACTACCACTGACTTTTCAAAATCTTAATTTCAACATTTATTATTTTTTTTTTCATTTCCAAACTACCGTCAATTCCAAGACAAAAAACTTAAGCAAGTCTTAAAGAAAAAAAAAGAGGCAATTTAAAGATTTTTAAAGTTGAATTTCTTGCTAAATATTTTTTTTTTTATCAAGATTTTACAAAAAATCTTATACTTTTATAAGAAAAGTATCTGCTTACTTTCATACATACCTATGCAAATAAAAAATTCACCTATTTTTCAGCAAAAAAAAAGCATTTTATACGTTCACCTCCCTTGGACCCCCCCCTGACGTTTTTTGGAGATAACTCAAAAAATATTGGTCTGAACCTGTTAAAGTTTTCTGGCTTTTGTAACTAACACATTAGATTCAAAGCTGGGCTTTTGAACCTACTGCCTGAGTCCTCAAGCACACCGCCTGAATGACTTATTTTTACCTTTTCCAGACTAAATCTATATTTGGACCTACTTTCGGTCATTGGATTTTGACTTTTTATAGCTCTTTGGAAAGCTTTAAACAAAAAGGAAGCAGATCGCACAATTTTTGCGAACAAATTTTTGCATAGTTTTTTGTATGTTTGATTTCGCCGTGGTAAGGGCTTTTCAAAAATGTATAATTTATCATATTTCGCGAACTCTGTGTTTTTGCACATTTTTTGCTTAATAACTTGAAATTGCGATAAATATTTAAAATATTGTAAATTTGCAATTTTTTTTGCAGATTATTAAAGCACAGGCCAAGGGCTTTCTTAAAGTGTATCAAATGTTATAGATTTGTTTCACAATTAGGAAATAGAAGGGGGTCCTTGGGACGCCCCCCCCCCCCCGACTATTTTGGATAAATCAGACGTCAACCTGAACCCATGTTGCATAAAAATGGATATATCCAGAAAGTCTGGAGTAAACTTGTAAACTCTATGAACTCTCTATTGTGTTTACAAGATTAAAATAACCTTTAACCAGGCACCGCAAGCTAATCATATTAAAATTTGAACCCCTAAACTGTATATATTTTGATTTATAAAGTTGGGGAACAAAATGAAAAAAGAAATTGGAAGAGGAGAGGGGAAAAATAAAATATAATTATATAAACCCCTGCTATTTACTAAACATGACTCCTGATTAGTTAGAAGTGCCCTCTATTCAAAGATGGCAATGCTTAATTCACAACATTACCCTTAAAAGCTTTGTCTGATCAAGTATTAATGAAACATTAATGTTTGTAATTTTGAAAACTAATTATTCTTAATTGTGGTTTCGCTAAAAAAGTGACGTGTGCATTTCTACCACAGGAAAACATAAAAAATTTATCAAAATGAAACACTTCTAATCCTAGAAAAACGACAATAACTCCACATTTTTGATAAAATATAGGTTTCAATGGTAACAAATGTGAATCGGGTATTGCCATCTGTGCATGGATGGTCACTAGGATATTAAGGTGACAGCCCCCTTCAAGCATGAGAGATGAATTCAATTTTGATTTTAGATCCTGTATCGAGATCTAAAGCTGGCAGTTAAAAACTCAGACGAGAGAGGAATGTTGCTGACAAAGGTTAGACCGTTGTACAGTATTGTACAGTATTGTACAGTATTGCACAGTATTGTACAGTATTGCACAGTATTGTACAGTATTGTACAGTATTGTACAGTATTGTACAGTATTGTACAGTATTGTACAGTATTGTACAGTATTGTACAGTATTGTACATGTGTACCTTTGTATCCAAGAATTGTTGTACCTTTGTACTGCTGAACCGTGTTATACTAAAACCGTTGTGCTGTGCATTTTTTATCATTGTACTATTGTAAACTTTTATCCTATTATTGTTGTAGCGTTGTATTATTGAACTTTCTGCCCTAGTATTGTTGAACAGTTGTACTAGCGTACCCTAGTATGGTTGTACATGTTGTTTTTGAGCCTTCCTGTCCTGCATAATAATACACTTCAAATGGTATAAAACCACCAGATTAAACATTATTTGAAAAAACTGTATTTTCCTAAACGAAGTGCTCCTGCTCATGTTTGGGCACTTTTTTAGATATTAAGAACTTGTTTACTTACTTTAGGAGCATGTAAATAAATTTAATGTTTTATTTTTTTCTAGAAAATGCGCGAAGCACATGAAGAGGGTGTAAAACTGGCTGTGCTTGGAAGGTAAATAAAGTTTTTTTTTTAAATGCGACAAACTAAGGTAACGTCTTCCTGCAGTAGAAATGCACAAGTCATTTTTACAGAGAAATCTCAATTGAATAAAATCAGTGTTTAAAATTATAAACATTGATACCTAATCCATACTGGATCAGACACAGCTTTGACAGGTTCGGTTGTGAATCGGGCATTGTCATCTTTGCGTCACTTGAAATTACGGTTAAAGTCCCTTTAATAAGTTTATTTTCAAGTTACCGGTCGGTCATCACATCATTTACACATAATATTGATTTTCATCTTTCTATTCCACAGTTTTATGGGTTCCACTGTAGCATGATAAATGATGATGATGTCTTGTACAATTGGCGATGTTTAGGTACAAGACGGGTGTACTGCGTGTACAGTTTCCTGATAGGCTGGTTGTACAGGGAACCTTTGGACCATCATCAACTATAGGAAGATGCTCTTTTTCATTAGTCTTTAATCCTTCTTTTAATGAGTGTCATATTTGATTCACATTTACATTCATAGCTTTAACAATATTAGGAATATTCTTCATCTGCTTTTTCTTAGAAAACTTGCATCTCGATAATTTTCAGATATTAAGTATTCGATTATTTGAAGGAGTGCCATACTGAATACACGAATCATAATGATACAGGATCCATTTAACTTTGACCTGGACCTGGAAAAAAATGGATCCGGATCCAAATCTGAAATTTTTTAACAAAGCAGAATTTTAGAACTTTTTGTCTTATTTTTTCGCTTATTTTTAAACTTTATGAACCATTCAGAAATCAGGAAATTTTTATAATCTCTATTTATTGAATAGTTCAGATTTTTGTTCCAGATCCTAAGCACTGCCCAGAATTATTGTTATCTTAGTAAATTCACTGGAATGCAACAGCAATGAAAAACTAAAATCAGTGAGACTTTCTCCTTGCTCCTGATAAACAAACGATTTTAGCTTTGTCATTCATTGGACATTTTTAAATTTTTATTTCAATTAAAGGTCACTTGAAATTGTGTTTAATTTCTTCAAATTGCGTTTATTTTTGATAAACCCTTCAAAATGTGTTTTAATCCATTTAAATTGTGTTCAAAATCGCTGAGGATTATGTTCATAATCACTTAATTGTTTTAATAATCCCTTTAAAAGAAAATTTTTGGTGTAGATGATGTAATGAATTGGCTCCGCCCACTTTTATCCAACCCGGACACACCCTTCGAGCTGTACACTGCTCCACCCAGGAACTAAACCATCTCCTCCTATCAGAAACGTATTTAGCCCCCCCCCCCCCNGTTTCACCTGCCTTTTGAATACTTTTTATTAATTTTCCTCAAATCCCTAGAAATTATTTTCAGAATTATTTAAATTATTTTTTAAATTTGTTCAAACTATTTTCTAAATCTTTGAATTATATTTTACAAATTCTATGGAATCATTTGTCAAATCTTTGAAATTTTCACATTCTTTAAAACTGTTCCTAAAATTGTTTCAAATATTTTGAAAGTTCAAAGTGTGTGTCTCTTCATTATTTCTTTCTTATCATTTAAAGTAATATCTCATATCTAGTGATATTTTTATTTGAAAGCTAAGAAATTATTTCTTCACTTATGAGAAAGTGAGTGCAACCCCTTCAAAAATAATCAAGTACCCTGGGACCAAACTCAGTTAATTTTAGCCAGGTCGCTGAATTACCTGCTGTCGATTCAAATACTTATTTTAGTTCTGCACTCTGCAGTGTAGTTTTTACATCTTTAGAACATGGGATCGGTGTTCCATGTCCTATAGATGATAATTGACTCCAGTACAACAGATAAGTATTTGAATCGACAGTAGGTAGTTTAGCAATCTAGCTCAAATTCATTTAATTCTGGCCCTGAAACTATACCTCTCATTCCCATGATTTTTTTTGTCAAAGATCAAAATGCTTGGAAAGTGTTTGTAAAGATTGGTTTTTTGTTTTTAGAACAGTACTTGAGGCAAAATCAACAATTCTAGGTAAATTAAATAATTTAATAAGTAATTAATAAAAAATAAGACTTCAGGGAAAATAATTTTGAGCCAAAAATCAATTATTTTAAATTGCAATCCAACAAAGAACTAATCAACATATGATTGATGGATTTTAATTGTGAAACAGGTTCAACTACCCTCTCTGTAATAAGTTTAACAATATAACTGCCTAAAACCATAAACTGTCAATAACTGTCAATAACCATAAAATGATGATAGTCCTAAAATAAGTTCATATTAACATGATTAAATTTTTATTTTCTTAAATGCGCTAAAAGCCAGCTTGTGTACAGCTGATTTTAATTCAATCGGATATTAGTTTAATCGATGTAGAATTGTATCTGTAATTTTTATCAAAAGTAACTTTTATACAATAGGGATATCCAAAAAAGAGGATTTAGAATAAAATCTAAAGGGTGTACATTGGATATTCAGATTATGCGATCAGGATTAAAGATGTCTCATTCTAAAGTTTTCAGCTCTGTTGACGTTAGTTTATGTGACTTCCACTTAAAGAGTGCCATAAAAAGGATATCTCATTCACCCCTGAATCAGACAAAGGTTTAAAGGATACCATTGTGAATCGATTATGCCACTACAAATGAACGGTCTACAGTCCTTTAAGACTGTTATGTATATTTTAGACTGTAGAAAATGGTTTAGTAGCCCAGCGGTCAATCTACTAGATCTGAGCCTGTACCCTGCTGTCCTGGTCTACTATCTATATATCGATCTATCTATGTTCTTCCAGATCTAAACCTGTACCCTGCTGCCCTGGTCTATTATCTATATATCTATCTATCTATGTTCTTCTAGATCTGAACCTGTACCCTGCTGCCCTGGTCTACTACTCCAGGATACAGGAGGAGAAGGAGAGCAGGGAACAGGCCTACATCAAGGAGGAGTTCATACAATCCCTCTCTAACATACAAGGTAGATCAGTCCGGGTTTTATAATTGGGACAGTTAGTTTCCAAAATAATTTATCCCTCGGAACCTTGATGAGTTTGGTCGTGTTATTGACTTATTGAATGATTTCTCTATTTATTTGTTGATTTATTGATTGATTTATTGATTGATTTCTCGATTTATCAGTAGATGCATTGATTGGTTCATTGATTTATTTATCAACAAAGATAATATATATATAGATACGCTGGCAGGTAGAAACCTCCTTCCTAAATTGCTTGTAGCAGACAACTAATTTTTGTCCCTCTGAGAACAGGTGCAAGGAGAGACATCTATAGCAAATCAATTACTTTCTATATTACTTTCTCCCCCTGCTGCCATCTGTAGGAAATACGCATTTGTGTTATATAAACATACAGTACGCGCATTGCATCCTGTATAGTTCAAGTGTTGCTATCTGGACCTGTTTGACCAATAAAATTAAATTTCAAGGTAACACAAACATACAGTACAGGGTGCCCAACCTTGTGGATTAAATCCTCATAAGTGCCATATCTGGGGATTTAGAAACCCCTTGGGATTTGTAGATATTCTGGGGATTTTGAATACTAATGTGATATTTCTGATATTTTGTCAAAAATTAATGAAATACATGTCTGGTAATTATAAGAAAGTTTTCCTGTAAAGTTTTAGAGAGTGACATGAAAATTTTCAAAAATTTAAATATTGTTAGTTTGTATTGGATGAGTCTGAACAACTTTTTGAAAACAAAATTTTCTGTACAATTAAAATTGCCATGCGAAAATGGCTTTAAGGGTCGAAAGAAATCGAAAATGTTGCAGTAGTTAAAAAATTTGTTATGAGCACTCAGTTGTAAGCAACTGGTTTTCAATTTAAATGAAACTTTGACATGCACTGTGAAGAGATATGAAATTGCATCAGTTAGAAAAAAATGTTTAAAAACCCTCTTAAAACCCACTAAAAAAGCTGTTTTCTGTAGAAAAAATTGACGATTTTCTGGGGATTTTTTTATTATTTGATGAGGGTTTTGTAGATAAAAATTTGTCTGTCAGTGGATTTTTGCCAATTTAGAGTTGGGCACCCTGAGACAGTACGACAGTATGATCAGTTGTACTTAGTAAAGATATAGTAGACAAACAGAAATATTGACAAACTTTTGGAAATTACTTTATATTTGTTAAATAAGTGATATCTATTTAATCAAACGGTTTTTATGAGATATTTAAATAAAATTAGATTTTTTAATTGGTACCACAATATGCAATTAAGATCTTGGGGTTGATGGTTTAAAGAATTATTAAAATTACTGTTTTTTATGCATGAATTCTAGTAAACAAAGCAAAAAAATTGCAACATTTTTTTGGGAGGACTTTTTCATACAGGTTGACAATCCTCATGTCATAAGCTGTTTTAATGAGGTTGTCTTTAGTTTGTAATTTGTAAACAAAATTAGTATTACTATGTGTTGTAGTAATACTACGTATATGATATAGTTACATTTCATCCATATATAAATTTGGCTTGTCTGTCTGTTTGTTTGTTTGTATCCAATAAACGTCAAAACAGCTGAACCGATCGGCCCAAATTTTTTGTAGGACATCACGTGACCACAGGGAAGGTTTACGAATGATAAAAAAAATTTTAAAAATGTGTTTAAAAGGTTTTTAATTTTGTAAAAAAAATTAAATTTTTTCATGGTTATGATTAAGTCTTCCTCTACTCAATAACAACCTTTTTTCAGAAAACATGCCACATACTCATACAAAAAGATGTTGTGTTTATAATTGTTCAAGCAAAAACAGTATGGATGAAATGAAGTTTTACATGTTTCCAAAGGACCCGAGTCGAAGGGAAGTTTGGAAAAATGTTGTAAATCGCCCTGACTATGCAATCAAAAAGAACAGTTACATGTGCATGTTACATTTTGAGTTTTTGGGGTGAAAGGGGTGATGAGCCAGTTGTGAGCCATGAAGAGCCAGGAGCAACCGACCATAGTAGTGTTGAATGGGATCCTATCCGCTATTAGGACTTTGTCCTGGATTCGATGTACTTTTTATTCATAATTTTTATTTAAATTGCGTTTATTTACGTATGCCATTCAGTACGACTTGCACATTTAAACTTTGTCTAGTCAAATTCCTACCTCAGTTTTATTTGCATTGATTAATTTGTTTCATTAAGTACAATATGCAGTATACATTGTTGATACTATAATACGCATTTAGTGTTATCAAGCATAAACAAAGTGATAAATTAGCAACAATCCAGAGGATAAAATGCCATACGTACGACAGAGATGGTGCTGATTGCACTTTTTCTCAAGACCTCAAATTTCTACCTGCCAGCGTATCTATATATATATATTATCTTTGTTTATCAATTATTAAGAAGCAACCGAGCTTGATCATGTTGTTGATCTTATGACATTTTATTTATGTGATTTTATTAATTAATTAATTAATTGATTTATAATTCTTATTTAGAATCCAACAACGTTAATCTTATGCCAAAATTTAAATGATATTATTGATCGATTGATTATAATTGAGATTGATAGATTAATTGATTTATTAAGGAGCTAACAAGGCTGCAAGTCAGTTCAGAAGAGGTGGGGAAAGAAAACAGACTGGACTTAAAGGTATTTCACAATAAACAGTACACTTATATTTCTAAAGAAAAAAAACAACAATTTTAAAAATTATTAAAATGCACCGTCCAAAAAAATAAATTATGTTTTATGTTTAAAACATAAAAGATGAGAGGGGGGGGGTCTATTGCTCTATTTTTCATATTACATTTCCTTTTGTTGTTCCTTGCTGTAGACATCCATTTTTTTCAATTTATATAATAAACAGAATTTAATATTTAAGCACACTGAGACTTTTTAATGCAATTTTTTTTTAAATGTTTGATTTTGTTTTCATTTAGGAAATTTGAAAGCAGACGTAAAACCAGAGACTATTCCAGAATCAAGGTTTCGTTCTACCACCAATTAATTTTATATTTATAGGAAAAGAAATCATATATATTGTTTTATTCCACTACGATCCCCGGCCCATTTAAATTTTGTAATACTCATGTTTAATGAGACATCTTGTGTATACTGTACAGTGTATATGCGTCAAAATTAGGGTTTTTTATTGCAATTCTTTTAACTTGAATCTATTCTACATACATTCATACATTTTTTGTACAAATCGTTTTTCAGGACTCTACAATTTCTCTAGGCACCCTTTACGTTTTTTGGACGCCTTGTACAATGTACGCCCCTCTTTATGAGTTTGGTGGTATAATTGTAGACCTGGTAAAAGGAGTGGAGGAGAGACCCCGCCCTGCAGCAGCCAAGGAGGAACAAAACTTCCGAAATGGTTCAAGACTGGAAAATAACAAGATTAGGCAGAAAATATACACATTACCAAATAAATACAGTAAATGGAATTTTGCGTTAAATTTTTAGGAACTAAACAATGTTGGGCAATGTCCATGGATACGCTCGGTGGACAGGAGCGCCGGCCTAAACTTCATTGAACGACGGATTCTCATTTAATAATAATAATAATAATAATAATAAACTTTAAGGAATAACTTCTGGGAAATAGCTAAATTTGACAAAAAAAGTGTAATTTTCGACATTTGGTAAAAAGGGAAAACTTAAGTTTAAGACAGGGAAATACATAACTATGGTTTGACAAAAATAGACAAATTGTCAAAATAAAAACAATCATAACCAGTACAAAACGGAATACAAGTTGTCTTTTAATCACGTAGAATTTTCGAAATTTGGTAAATTGGGGAACTTAACTTCAATACTGGGAAATAACTAGATTTGGCAGAAAAAGAAAAAGTTCCAAAATAAAAGCAGTTTAAGTAAAATGCGGAACAAACGTCGTCTTTTATTGGGAATTTTGCTTTTGTAATTTGTAATTCTTTTAACTCTTAAAATGTGCCTTCAATATTTCAGACATATGTCAGTCATAACGTTACAAAAAAAACAAGACTACATTTCTTATTAAAATGGAAAACAAAGACGAGTTTTATTTCGCTTTATACGGGTTAGGACTGTATAAGAAACACCGAGTGATTAAGTATTTTTCCACTAATTTTCCCAGTGTTCTCTAGCAAAATGATGTTGGAGGTATCAATTTATGCTGAAATATTTCGACGTGTAATTAATGAATATTGAGAACTAGTAGAACTAGTAAAGGATAGTTCAACTACTTCTCTAGTCTGACAAAGAGTGTACTAGAGAAGTAGTTACACTAGCCATACCTAGATTTCATACTTCTCATTTTTGATAAATTCCGACCTCAGGGCATTCGGGGAATTATATTTGGATTAATGCCCTCAAGGGAAAGAGCCTAAAATGTCCAAGTATATTCTCGTGATAAAACAAATATTTGTGATTTATAATTTAATTGTATGATGTCAGGGTATATATTTTTTTTTAATTCCCCTCCCCCCTGATTTTCATTTGAATGTTTCAATATAATAACCCGAAAATTCTTTCCCTCTTCAGTTTTCCCAAGTCATAAATCGAAGAGGAAATACATATTTTGAAGTGTGGGAAATTAGTTTTAATAAAATATATACCCCGGAATATATTTTCAGATTTAAGATGTCTAGTAAGCAGGTTGACCTGGGGTTCTTCAACGGGGACTACCCGCCCTGGGGCACGGAGAAGGAGTTCCAGGAGTTCGAACTGGAAAGCAGATATTTCCCCAGCAAGGTTTCTTACATTTTTTCAGATTGGACTGCAGTCGTAATTTCAAGTGATAGAGTGGCATGTCCGATTCATAACAGAACCCTTTATCTGATCAAATATGAATTAGATATCCATGTTTTGTTTTTGAAAGTTGTTTATTTTCATTTTCGGGTTCTCTTCACTACTTTTTTTTGCTTTAGAAGCAATGGAGAAATTATTAGTAACACTTTTTTGACCAGAAACTCTTTCACATTATCTCTCGGATTGAAGGATGATTGGTATCTACCCCGCTGGTTTCTATGAGCTATTTTTTTGTAAATGATTTTTTTTTATATTCTAGTAAGATTTAAGATACGAGTTTTTAATATATAAGAAAAAATTTTTAGGGCAAAAGTCTGAAAACAAAAAGGTTTAAACATTTTTTAAGTAGCAATTTAAATGACATCGAACCAGAAGGTGCCAAAAAAAGTGGTTTTTTAGATCGGAGGTAAACCTGCTTGGTTAGATCTTGTCAACCTTCCAACTCCTGACCAACTTGAGGTAACAAGTACAAATTGGATAATGAATATGTACAGGGGGACCCAGATACTGGGGAACCAATAGAAAGATAGAAATGGAAAACGACATTTAAGCTAGTTTATGCGTGTTTGATCTTCCAATTTAAACAAAATAGTTTTACCAGTAGACTGAAATTAAACTATAGTAAAATGGGTTTTTTGTGTGTTCACTGCAGAGCTTTGTCTCTTGTTTTTATGAACTATTTAATATCATAAATTCAGCTTAACTGTCGTCCCACATGTTAGGATTCAATTAACGTTATAATTGTTTGCGAGATCTAACTTGACCTCAGAATCTAAAGATATCACTCCAAACAAAACAAAAACAGGAAAATTTTTGAATTAATTGTACGATAATCGTCATCCACATCATCCACATCGACATAGACATCGACATCGTTATCTGGTCCACATTCAAGATCCATCGGGTCCACAATTTGGCTTATTTAGTCTCTATATCTATATTTGTTTATTGTTTAGTGTAAGCAATGTGGAATCCAAACCAAATTCCTCCTTCAGATTTATTCACCGGACGATAAGGTAAGGATTTTAGATTTTAAATATTAATTAGATTTTTAGTCTGGGTCAAATTTATGGTTTCCAAAGGGGATTTATATAATNTTTATCAAAAGAGTCAAATATTTTCTTGAAAGGTCGTCCCCCTCCTTAAAATCTATTAATTCAGTTTCTTTGATTTAAAGTATTTTACTAATATTCTGGCTTTGATCAGATTGTATTGATTGATTGATCGATGGAGTGATTGATTGAATGATTGATTGATTAATTTATCTAGTGCTTTTATTGAATGATTGATTGATTGGTTTGTGTAGGTGCCTCATGGATTTCATCGAACTCTTTATGTGTTCATCTGCGTTCAAAACTCATGCTGGAATAACAGGTAGACATTTTTGAACACATGTTTCTCCCACTTTTCCTTTTTTTTACTTTAAATGTGCTAGTGAAAACGCCCTAAAGAGTTTGTGTTGTTCATTGCTTTCAACATTTTTGGGAATTCAAAAACTGGAAAATGATTTTTCAGTAGACATTTTTTTCAGAAAAAAAAACCTATTTTTTGTTAAAATTACGGTGGATTTTTTAACTCATGCTTTTAAGAGAGAATGGTAGCCCTGTTATTGTACTGCGTAATCAGCTGAGTCGAGAGAACCGGTTTTATCCAGCAGACCCGCCGGAGGAGAAAACCGGTTGGAGAACTGATATTCAAGCTGAACAGTACGGGTATGTTCAGTACAGTGCACTTAGCAGATGATGTCGATGTCGATGTTGATGTTATTGTCATTGTCGTTGTCGTTGTCGTTGTCGTTGTCGTTGTCGTTGTCCGTTGTCGTTGTCGTTGTCGTTGTCGTTGTCGTTGTCGTTGTCGTTGTCGTTGTTGCTGCTGTCCTTGTTGTTGTCGTTGCCGTTGTCGTCGCTGTCGAATGTTTATTTTTGAAGTTGATGTGGATTTGGATGTGGATGATGTGGATGATGTGGAGGATAACAATGATGACAATGATGACAATGATGACGATGATGACGATGATGACGATGATGACGATTGTGGTGACAATGATGACGATGATGACGATGATGACGATGATGACGATGGTGACAATGGTGACAATGGTGACAATGGTGACAACAATGACAAGATGACAATGAAGACAATGATGACAATGATGACAAGGATGACAAGGATGACAAGGATGACAAGGATGACAAGGATGACAAGGATGATAAGGATGACAATGATACTGTTCAGTACCCTGTGTTCTGTGTGTGGGTGCCATGGAACCAAGATGTGTGGAAGATGTAAAACTGTAAACTATTGTTCACAAATTCATCAGAAGCTGGACTGGAGTAAGGGACACAAGAAGGAATGCCAGGTACATTTAAGGGACTGTGAGCGTAATTTTAAGTGAGTTAAATACTTGAGTTCTGTTTTACAAAAAAACATTTTGTCAGTCTGGGGTTACAGATTCATTCTCTTAATAGTTTATAGTTCATAATATTTGCCCTCTTTACAAGTTTTACAAATTTTTTTATGTCGGTATGTAATTAGGTTTTTTTAATATTTCCTTAAATATTTTTTAATTATATGCAATATAATACGAAGCATTAGTTGCAAAACTGTATTTATTGAAATATAGATTAGATGAAAATAAAGCTTTAAAAACAAAATATAAAGTTAATTTCAATCATGAGTAAAAACAGTAGGATAGTCATTCTAGGTAAAAAGATTGGAGGTCATAGAAAAATGAATAAGAAACCCCTTATTTGAGTTTTTGTAAAAAAAAAAGTTATGCAAAAAGGATTTTGTCTGAGTGGGGTCCATCTGCTTTACTAGCAAAGTATATGAGGTCTAGGATGTATGAGGATGGGAAAATTTAAGTCGCAAATACATTCTAGAAGAAGTATTCTGCATTAATACAATCATCAGTTGTAAAACATAATAACAAGGATTATCTCAATCATTCTGGAAACTTGCTAAAATTGATCCAGCCCATTGCTTGAACTTAAAATTTAAGTTTTTAATTCATTTTTCAAAGTTTTCTGAAAATTTTGTTTGTTGTTAGGTTGGGTGCACTTATAGTGGACCTCATCATATAGAAGCATTTATTGAAGGACTAATTGAAATAGAAGAAGAACCAGAGAAGAAAGCAGAAAATATTGTAAGTTCAAGTTACAACTAATATTTACGTATAGACGATGAGACTTTAAAGGCTGCATATGATGATCTAAAGGATGAATTTGGTCTAAGTCCTGTAAAAATTAGTCTTTAAATTAAATGCCAAATGATTTGGCAAATAAGTAAGAATTTTTTAGTGGAAGTTGACCAAGAATGCAACAAAAAGTCTGAATAAATAATTAAAACATAAGTTTAACTAATTTTTTAAACAAATTTTTCAATTTTTAAATTATTATATATTTAATGTTTAGTCCGACTTAAACTATCCCGGGGTGGAGATTGGAGAGATGGTAGCTGAGGACATTAGTGGCGCAGCAGATGAAGAATTTGAGGAGGTGGAGGCTGCACAGGCAGAAGATAAGGTAAACAAGGCAGAGGTTTCACAGGCAGAGGACAAGTTAAATCAGGCGGAGGCTACAATGACGGAGGATAAGTTAAACTAGGTGGAGGATAAGGTAAACTAGGTGGAGGATAAGGTAAACTAGGTGGAGGATAAGGTAAACTAGGTGGAGGATAAGGTAAACTAGGTGACGGGTAAAGTTAACTATGTGGAGGATAAGGTAAACTAGGTGGAGGCTAATGTAAACCAGGTGGAGGATAAGGTAAACTAGGTGGAGGATAATAAAAAACTTAGTGGAGAATAAAGTAAACTAGGCGGAGAATAAGGTTAACCAGGCAGAAAATATGGTTAACAGGTGGAAAATAGGTTAACTAGGCGGAGAATATGGTTAACAAGGCGGAGAATATGGTTATCAGGCGGAGAATAGGGTTAACTAGGCGGAGAATATGGTTAACAAGGCGGAGAATATGGTTATCAGGTGGAGAATAGGGTTAACTAGGCGGAGAATATGGTTAACAAGGCGGAGAATATGGTTATCAGGTGGAGAATAGGGTTAAATAGGCGGAGAATATGGTTAACAAGGCGGAGAATATGGTTATCAGGTGGAGAATAGGGTTAACTAGGCGGAGAATATGGTTAACAAGGCGGAGAATATGGTTATCAGGTGGAGAATAGGGTTAACTAGGCGGAGAATATGGTTAACAAGGCGGAGAATATGGTTATCAGGTGGAAAATAGGGTTAACTAGGCGGAGAATATGGTTAACAAGGCGGAGAATATGGTTATCAGGTGGAGAATAGGGTTAACTAGGCGGAGATAATGGTTATCAGGTGGAGAATAGGGTTAACTAGGCGGAGAATATGGTTAACAGTGGAGAATAAGGTTAACTAGGCGGAGGACTAAAAAAAAATTACATAAGTTCAGTCCTTCTACCTGTAAGGAAATGCTAATTGTATGAAGTTTGATAGATAATAAGGCTCAGTAACATTTTGCCTAGTACAAGTTCGCCTAGTTCAAGTTCGCCTAGATAACATTTTGCCTAGATAACATTTTGCCTAGACAACATTTCGCCTAGATAACAATTTGCCTAGATAACATTTTGCCTAGATAACATCAGAGAGTAAGTTTCGCCTAGATTAACATTCTTCAAATTAACCAGCTTTTGGAACAAAAAAATACGCAATTTTTACTGTAAAAATTTCGCAATTTTTTTTTTGTAGTTTAAATCATTCAGTTTTCTACTGACATTGATGTTGACATGACGTCCTTAATTCAGGCAGGGAAAACCAAACGAGGCAGACCAGCCATAATTGATAATCAACATTTCTCATATGTCTCCAATGGACCTGGTAGTCAGAAAGTTTATAATTGTTGCTGTTCAAACTGAAAATGTAATGCAAGCTTTAAGTGCCCTTTAAGAAAAAATTTGTAAACATTATTATAATACATTTTTTTTTGCTTTTAATTGAATTTCTTGAGAAAAAAGAGGAACTTTATAAATTTTAGTGAATTTATCTAGGCGAAATTTACCTTCTAATGTTATCTAGGCACAATGTTATCTAGGCGAAATGTTGTCTAGGCAAACTGTGTTTAGGCAACATGTTATCTAGGCAAAATGTTATCTAGGCAAAAAGTTAGTAGGCGAACATGTACTAGGCGAAAGTGTACTAGGCGAACTTGTACTAGGCAAAATGTTACTGAGCCGATAATAAATATTTCAGGCTAGTGAAAAATTTAATGAGCGGATAAAAAGAGCTCCTCATCAGATAGTTAGATATGACAGGTAATTGTGTCATAAGTTTAATGAAATTAAATGAAATATAATTATTAGAATGCATGGTGTTCTCATTTCTATTTGTGTTTTTAACGGATACTAGAAAACATCTGTAAAAAGCTTGCAGAGTAAGGTTATTACCTTAAAAAATATCCCAAAAGCCTTTTTCTATGGACAACTTATAAAGTTACAAGTTCCCAACCTTCCCAAATGTGCGATTTCTCAAGTGTCTACTTCCCAATTAAATGCATTTAAGATTGAGTAAGTGTAAAACAGACTGGGGAAGTTACCACTTGGGAAATTGCACATTTTGTAAGTTTCCACTTTGGAAAATACTCTTGGGAAGTTGATGCAAGGGAAACTGCCTTAACTATACATCAAAAATATTATGAAAATGATATGAACATTAAACACTGTAGTGTGAGCAATGCACCGTCTTGGTCCAGTCTTTTCTCAAATACAATACAAAATTATAATATGATAAATTTTGTAGGGGACATGCATTAATCAATTGAATGAAAGAAATGGCATAATGTCAATGATGTTTAGATCCATAAACATTCAGTTAAACTAATTCATTATTCTAGGGATGGATCTCCTTTACTCTGTAGTTACTCTGGGTCTAACTTCACACCAGGACAGTGCTCAGCTTGTTCTTCAGATCTTTCTTTTGAGTTCCAGGTAGGAAATCCTCTGTCAGTAATCAAGAAACAAACACTAGACTCGTAGGGTCTAGAAGTGTCATAGTTGGGTATTGGTTTGTTGGCTGTAGGCGGTCTGAGTTGCCCGAGATGGGTTTTCTTGCAGATCTCATCCTCGTATAATCCTTATATATTATTGTACTTTATAAACGAGTGCACTTGTCAAGGCTACAGATAAAGGCAGTCTGAAGGTCATGTCACGGAGCTGTCTTGGGTAGATCGCCTGGTATAAGTCTTCTTCCTAGGGTGACACGGCTCGGTCAGCCCATGGATACGTTTCGGCGGTTAGGAGCCCCGACCCCTATTTCATTAAATGATTGGTTGTCCTTTAATAATAATAATAATACACTCATTTGTTTTGGTCTTCGTCTACTGAACCACACATATTTGACGCATTGGACTTCAAGGTTCTTTGTGTCTTGGTGTTTAACAAGTTTGTTTATTTACATTCAAGATTAATGATGATGTCTGATTATTTTAAACCCTATTTCGTTTACCTTAAGGACATGTTTGAAAGTTTCCTTGTCTCAATTTTGTTTTCCTATCAAATTTTTGATGTAGTGTTATGTTTAGATAATGCCTCAGGTTCTAAGTTTACTGAACCTAGGATCAGATTTAGAAGGAGGTCTTGACTTTGGGAGTATCTATATTTACACTTGCTCAAGGTAAATTTATTTTAAGATAATAACTTGTCAAAAAAAGTGGTCTACTAGTTATTATCAAGGTCCCAAATGACCTTATTGTCTCCAGTCAAAAAAATTGTCTTTTGAGAATGGAATAGAACTAAAGAGATTTATCTCTGTCTCTAACATTCAGAACAAATGATCTTAAAAATTAAATATGTGTTTCAAACAATTTTAATTTTTCCTATTAATGCAAAATTCTCTTTCTTTTCTTCCGACCAGCTTTTAATTAGCCCTTAAAAAAATATTAAATAAGAAATTAGTCCCACAAAACTGAAAGCTAAAAAAATTCAAGCTAACGCCACAGAAGAATGAAAACAACGAGTGGATGATGTATCATTCGACCTACGGAACTTCTGACCTACTTGCACATCGGTTTATTACTCTAAGTTGTACATGTGGCCGCAGCGCCCAGCCCAGAAATTGCCGTAAATTAACCAAGCCCTCAAACAATACAAAATAAACAACAGCCTATCGTCTAAGGTCGGATATAGGAGGAGGTTGGAAAGTTGGTAGGTCAGACGTTGAGTTGAAAGTATGTTGCATAGAGAGGATGTTACACCACCTTTAAAAGAAATATGTCTGCAGATAGATTTTCCCTTGTATTTATATAGTGTAATAATTGCAGGAGCTGCAGTACAGAAGGATATGTCCTGGAACAATCACACATCCTTGATTTTGTAATATTTGCACAGGAGCAGTACAGAAGGATATGTTCTGGATCACAAATCCTTGATTTTGTAATATTTGCAGGAGCTGCAGTACAGAAGGTTATGTCCTGGATCACAAATCCTTGATTTTGTAATATTTGCAGGAGCTGCAGTACAGAAGGATATGTCCTGGAACAATCACAAATCCTTGATTTTGTAATATTTGCAGGAGCTGCAGTACAGAAGGATATGTCCTGGAACAATCACAAATCCTTGATTTTGATCAAACCAACATTCCTTTACCTTGACAATGGAAATAAAGAAATTTTTTAAATCACAAATGTTAAATGTATAGAGAGGATATTGAAAACAGAGAGTTTATAAGAAAAGGCTACAAGAAAGAATGAACAAATAACAAACTTCAGCTAAAGTTTATAAAAATTTAACAAACTGAAGCTTTAAAAATTATAAAATCCCATTCTATTATTTACAACAGTTGAATTACATATTGCAGAGGTTTCTGATTAAATGAGAAAAATATTTAGGGTGTCCCACGAAACATGACAGTAGCAAGACGACTTGAAGGTCGTGATTAATTGTTGAAATAACTTGCAACATTTCTTCGTTTCCTTAATTGTAGAAGTAGAATTTTAGGATTAATAATCACAAAACACCCCTAGTCTTTGCATTTCCAAAATGTGGTCTGACTTTTTTTAGCTTTTGATATTTCCGGAGATTTGAAAAATTGAAAATTTCGACAATTTTGGTTTTGTTCAATAAAATTTAGATCTAAACGAAATGCTTGATATCTCCAGTAATATTGACAGCACAAAAAAAGGCAGACCACATTTTGGAAATGCCAGGACTAGGAGGAGAGTTTTGTGGTTATTGTTTCAAGAATGTCACCAATAAATTCAAAGATCCAAGACGACTTTCAAGTCATTGTCTTGCTACTGTTATGTTTTGTGGGACACCCTGTAGTTAACTTTATAATTTTGCATACAACCCACTTTTTAACTTTGAAAGTAACCAAATGGAGTTTAAGTCTAATTCTTATGATAGCAAACACATGTCTTCAAGTTTCTCCCTTCAACTAAATTGAATGTTAAAGAAGAAAAAGGTGAGTAGGAGAAAAATTGAGAAGTAAAAATACTAATTTATAAGGGATTTGATCTATTGTAAGCTATCTGGGCTATGATTCTTCTACGTTTGGTGGATTACTCGATGACAGTCTGGATTGGCTAATCTCTGCTGGCGGTTTGGAGAGTCTGGATTGAGTGGCTTGCAGAATGGAAATCTTATCTAGTATACAAGGTTACCCATAAGTGGTGAGACTTCAGAGACATCAATTAGGAATTGTTCAGTATTTATTTTTACATACTTCATCCCTTATAACTATATACTTTTTTCTTTCTTTAGTTAACCATTGGAAAGATCATTAAATAATGTATTCACTGTGGATGACAAATTGGTTTAATCAAATATGGCCATCCAACATTCATTCTTTGTGGGAAACTCAGCAGCTCCTACCAGAGTTAGACATCTTGATACTTACTTCAGATTAAAAATGGGAGACCTAGATGAGCAGGAGGATGAGTTGCTAGCTGTCTCTGAAATACTTCCTCCTGGTACATTTAGAGTAGAGAGAGGACAGTCTGGTTTTCCTCACCGGGGATCCATAGAGGTATAGGGAATGAGTTGAGGAGTGTAACTCACACATGTTTTGCCTCTGGCCCACAATAATGTGTGGTATTTGGCTGCTGGCCCACATCTTTTTCGTCTTGCAAAATGGCCTTACTTAATATGCCAATTATAGCTCTGAAATATCCTTTTTATTCACTCTTTCCAATGTCATCCAGCCATATTTAATATATAAATTTGGCTTGTCTGGGTGTTTGTCTGTTTGTTTGTAACCAATAAACGTCAAAACGGCTGAACCGATCGGGCCCAAATTTTTTGTGGTACATCACGTGACCACAGGGAAGGTTTATGAATGATAAAAATTTTAAAAAATGTGTTTTAAAGGTTTTTAATTTTGTAAAAATAATTTAAATTCTTGAAAATCCGCGAGTTTTTTTTTAAATCCCCAAAAAGTTTTTCTTTGTTTTAAAATGTAAACAAAAAGAATATGTTTACAATTTAAATAGAAGATGGGCGCGAAGCGCCCTAAAAGCCTAGTTTAATATAAAATACACTACCAAAGGCAGTCAGGATATGTGCAAATGCTTCCAGAAAAAATATGATTGACATGATAAAGATTTGAAAGATATTAAGAAAAATCTTTTCTTTTATTATTATTATCATCTCTTTTATTTTCCCTAGGTGTCTGTAGATTTGTCTGGTCCTGTAGAAATAGTAGAATCTGATATTTCTACGTTCAGTGTGCAGTATCTACCTCCTATAATACTAGAATTTATTCTACCAGTAGATTATCCTTCTCTTCAGAATCCTGTTTTTAATGTTAGGTAATCATTATCTATTTTATTTGATCCTTTAACTGAACATTTGAGTTACTTTTGGGCCTCAAGTTGTTCTACAAAAACTTTTTTAAAATTTTTATTCTGGAGCCATAGAGGAACAAGGTTTTTAAAAAAATTAAATCTCCGAATTTAAATTACATTTTTATTCATATTCTCTTCTAGCTGTGTCTGGTTAGCTGATGTTGAGTTAAACGCAATTAAAAATCAGCTACACATAATTGGACAGGTAGTGGACGTTGTCAGTTGATCATGTGATTGATTTTGATTTTATATTCTTGATAGATTAGTTTCAGTTCTTATTAATGTTCTTAATTCATAATTAATGAATCAAGAGTGATTTTTAACAGTTCAGTTTTGTGTTTTGAGGACAAAAAGTTCTTCTTTGCAACTTTAATTTAAAATTCTGTCCTTGGATCCAGATCTGTGGAGTGGATCCGTATAATTTTAGGGATTCAGATTAAGGAAATAAGGAAGCTTAAATATTGCAGATCCAATGATTTCGATTAGAATCCTGATCCTGAGCACTGGAATCAAATAATAAATGGGTTGAAAAGTGAAAGACTATGAAACAAAACAAATATTTTTTTAAATATCAAAAAAATTCCCAAACAAAAGAAGAAGAAAAAATATACAATTACTTGATTTCTTCTTTTGTTTTTGATTGATTTGTTAATGAATAATGTAATTCATTGATTGATTGATGTAGTGTGTAATAGATGGAATGACTAGTTAACTTTTTAGTGATTGATTATTCAGGATAATCTGGGAAGTGTTGTACTGTTTCTTTGGATCAATTTTCTTCAGCAAGATTTACTTGAAGCAGTCAATTTTCAGTATTCAATCAACCTTCACCAACTCAGGTTTCATTTAAAGCATTTATCAACCTTTATTATCTAATGCCTACTTGCTGATGAAAAATTTTCTTTTTCTGATGCTGAAAATCTCAATAGTTTTTTGTTTAAGGACTGGAAAACAGAAAAAAGACTGTGCTAAACCTAAACTAGCCAGACAAAGTAGCTTTCAGCCTTTTTTAAGCAGATCCTCGGATCTTAAAACATCAGAACTAAGTTGTCCTGAACATTCTGCATCAATTGACAATAATGATTTGACTTATGATTCTAAAAGTGATTCACCTGCAGTTAAACTACCATACGTAAGCTCATTAAGCCTTTCAGCTCAACCATTCCGTCCTAAAGCAGATTCTGTCGTACCATCTGCATCCATGGCATCTCCATCCTCATCAGCTTCAGCTAGTTCAAGAAATTCTACTTCTAATCCTGCTTCAGCACCTACTTTCAAATCATCACTTTCCTTATCAGGTTCAGTTGGTTCAGCAAGTTCTATGACTAATCCTGCCGCATCACTTGCGTCAATATCATCACAATCTTCATTAGTATCTGCTGGCTTTGCCAGTTCCACCTCAAATCCTGGGCTGGAGAAGAAGAACCGAATTACTGGAATTGTTAAATCTTGGAACTTGACAGATTGTGCTGGGACAATTTTCTGCAAATCTACAGGTCGGATCTATGCAAGCTTGACAGATATCTGTTCTCCTGACCTCACAAGGCTGGAGGTCTCCCTGGAGATCGGGCAGACAGTGGAATTTGACCTTCTGACAGGATCCAGCCATGTTATTGACCGGCATACTTTTAACAAGCAGGCGGTCAATATTACAGCAGTCGGCGGGAGACCGGTCAAAGGAAGTTCTGACTCGGAAAAGGTTACAATTCTAAAGCAGGATGTTCTTGGAACCATTTATACCTGGAACCATAGAAAAGGAGAAGGCAAATTGAAATTGGTAAAGGAGGGAGAAAGTTGGGAAAGGGTAGAAGCAAAGGGGAAGGCGAATGAAAAAGGTGGAGGGAAGGAGAAGGAATTGAAAGATCTTGTTTACGTTTATTACACTTCTTTACACTTCACTCCTCAAACATTGAAACCAGATGATTGCAGACTGTTCAGATTTAATATTGTAGAGTGTACCAGATATGGCCTCATTGCTCAATATGTTCGCCTTGAAGAAAAAAGAAGTTTTGCATTGGGAGCAGCTGATCTAAACAAAACAAAAGATTCCAATAAAATAAATCCAGAGAAAAGCAAATCAGATAAAAAAGATATTTCTGAATCTTCTTCTCAGGAAAATTTATCATTAGACGTACAGGTTAAAGATGGGGCTAAAAGCCAGATAAATGAGAATACAAATTTGATAAAGGAAAAAGAAAATGCGGATGAGAAGAAGGAGAGAAAAGGAGAACAAACGAAAACTGGAGTTCAGATTTTAGCAGCTAGGCTCAGAGAATATAATAACAGTAAGGATGTGGAAATATTTGCGGCAAGTGTGTACAGCTGTCTAGTTTGCTTTATGGAGAAGAGTGGGGTTAATTGTGTACGCTTCCCTTCATGTCAACATGTGTACTGCAGGGAGTGTATGGCGCAATATTTCAAAATACAGATTGAAAGTGGGCAGGTAAAGAATCTGACCTGTCCAACGGACCAGTGTAAATCCCAGGCTCTACCCAACCAGGTAATGGAGTTGGTGCCTATTGATCTGTTTAAAAAGTATGAGAGTATTCTACTGGAAACTACCCTGGAGTCAATGGTGGATGTGATCACATGTCCCAGGGTGTTCTGCCAGTGTCCAACTGTGATAGACAGAGAGAATAATATGGGACAGTGCCCGGCCTGTCAGCTGTCCTTCTGCATATACTGTAGGGCAACCTATCACGGTGTTTCACCGTGTAAAATGAAAACAAAGGAGCACCGCGCTATTCTGGACAAATACAACCAGGTATAGATATTTATACACCTACCTATACTCATTTACCTACCTACCTATAGTCATTTACCTACCTACCTAGGGTACTGATGATGAGAAGATGTGGTTGGAGAAGAAGTATGGAAGAGTAAAGCTTCAGCAACTCCTCTCAAATGTTTTAAGTGAAGACTATCTCTCACAGAATGCCCGGGTAATTAATCCTTTATATTCTACATTATTGGGAGGGGGGGGGGGAACCATTATTTCCTACGACCTATTTTACGGAGCTAAAACGTTGTTTTACGTATAATTGTCCAAACTGTATTATTTCTTATCACTGCAGTTTAAGACTTAACTCAGCCATTATTCCCTATTTACTATTTAACGTAGTTGTTTTTACGTATAATTGTCCGAACTGTAACGCCCCTATAGAGAAGAAGAATGGATGTAACAAACACCTTCTTCTGTTACAGAATTTACTATTATTTCCAGCGTTTCGGATCCAGATCCGGATCCGGTCGGATCCGTATCATTTGGTCGGATCCGGATCCGTATCAGGAAACGTTGATATCTATCCGGGTTTCGGTTGAGCGCCTATTCTCAGCCTTGAAGCTGCAGAAGTCCGACCTCCAGAACCAGATCAAGGCCGACGTGTTGGACGCCCTTCTCCTGCTCAAGGCTAACAGCGACTATCTCTTCAAGAAGTGATTGATCGGCCTGTCCAAAGGATTACTCCAAAAAGTCAATATTTTTTTGGTTACATTTCGGAATATATAATAAATATAGTTTATAAATTATAACCTTGCATAACATTTAATAGGGAAAATCCGATTCACAGAATCAAAAGTTACCTCGGATCCGGATCCGGATCCGTATCAGAGTCAGGATCCGGATCCATCATCACGGATGCGGATCCGCGGATCCGGATCCGCATCAAAATGATACGGATCCGAAAAACTGATTATTCCTTATCAGTGCAGTTTCAGGCTTAACTCAGTCATTATTCCTTATCTAAAGTAGTTGTTTTTACGTATAATTGTCCGAACTGTAACGCCCCTGTAGAGAATAAAGGATGGATGTAACACTTTCTCCTGTTACAGAATTTAATATTAGTTCTTATCACTGCAGTTTAAGACTTAACTCAGTCATTATTCCCTATTTACTACTTAACGAAGCTAATAATTGTTTTTACATAGAACTGTCCGAACTGTAACGCCCCTATAGAGAAGAAGGACGGATGTAACAAGATGACCTGCTGGCGGTGTAACACCTACTTCTGCTGGTTGTGCAGTGTCAAGCTGAACCCAGCCAACCCCTACTCTCATTTTAATATCATGGGAGGAAACTGCTACGGAGCTCTCTTCCAGGTGGGAAAGTTTCTATGACAACAAATATCTGGTTATTAAATAATTACAGGGGAGGAATATTCCAAACCATACTTATGTTCCAAACTGGACACAAATATATAATCAACCTTTTGGTAACTCTTTCTGTACTGAGATCAAATATCCATATAAAAAACTATTCCCATCATATTATTAAGCATGAGGAGAACTACAAATAACACTTCTTTTATAAAATTTAAACTATGAGTGCAATTCAAGGTTTTCCATTTTCGCATGTATCACTCATTTGAATCTTGGACGTGTCTTTTGGAACATAAACCAACTTTTGGAACATAAATAATTTGGAAATATTCAACAATTCAGCACAAAACGCACTATTATAATTTACAGAAAGCATGAATCACCGAAAATATTTTTGTCTTGTAAATTAATCTAAAATGTGTTTGCACATTATACTTATAAATACGGAGAGTACAGATGATTTCAAGTTTCCTCCATTTTCAATCAAAAAATTCCTGCATTTTAATTCTGTTCAATTTAATTGTAAGAACAATATAATATTAATATTAAATTTATCAATGTTTTAAGTCGTTTTATTTTGAAATATCAGAACAGGAAATATTATTTAGATTATATAAATTTGAAAAAGATTACTTTGCCCTGACACTCAGTGTCAGGTCTGGGCCAAATCACGGTTTGAAACTTTCTTCTCCTGGATTATGAAATAACGAGAAAACATGACATACAGGGGTACCCCACAAAGGACGAGACTGTAAAGACGACCAAAGACTCTAAAAATATGACAATTTGAACCTTGATTTTTGGTTTCTTTATTAAAATGAGTATATCAAAAGTGAACTCAATTACATAGCGCAAAACTAAACCAGTTTTGGCTTACAAAGAACCCAGAATGCAAGAAAATGGACTTCACAAATTCCTTACAATTGTTTCTGAATTCTCATAATTACTAGACTTCGCGCCAATCTTCTATTTCAAAGTTCCTTTAAATTGCAATAAGTGTTTTGATGCCCAGGGGGGAAATATGAAAAATTAGCACTAAGAGGCAAGTTTTCTTCACCTCTTTTTGATAATTTTATAAAAAATTTCCTTAAAATTAAAACATTTTTTATCTTTAGATAGCAATCTTAAAAGACGATTTTTAGACAAGTGTCGATGTTTATTGGGTTACCCTGTATTATAATTAATTCAGTCCTTCTAAGAAAATTGTTTTATTTTATTTTCGTGCTTTAGGGAGTTGATGTTGAGGATGATGATGATGATTGGGAGGAATTCATGAACATTTAAAATATTTCATTTTTATAGAAGTGATTATAATGGATACGGATAGAAGTTACAAATCAAGTATTCCAGACTCCGCGATTGCGTAAACTACACACGTATTTACATGTGTAGTATATTACTTTAAAGTAACTACAGCAGAAAACTTAAGCATTGTTAAAATCGAGATCTAGATCAATGCTTGATCCATTCCATTTGTTAATATTTAATCTTTAGTTTGTATCCATCAAAGTGTCTATAATTCAACCAATCAGAGTGATGTAAGCAACGTTCACATAATGACATAAAAATATGATAAAGTTAGATTTTATTGGGCTGCTGTTGCTAACAAACGTCTAATATACTATTTGTGGCAAAGGTACCATACCTTTCCGCTCAAATTCTGAACGAAAAATCGGCTTTTTCTCTGGCCACAGTTGTCTTTAAAAAGTAAGACAATTACCAATCTACAGCAAATAGGCTGTTTAGTTTACCCTGAAATTACCCTGAACGGTCCCTTTAAGTGTTATGAGAGCAAAAATTTAACCCCGTATGTAATTTTATTTATTTTTATAATCTTTCGTGTTATGAATTCGTGATTTATAAAATAAATATTTATAAAATAAATAACTTTAAATTAATTTTGTTCAGATTCCGACAATTTGACCATTTGAATCAAGAATAGTTTTATAACCAACTTTAAACAATCATAGAACGCACTTGCAAAAATTTAAATCTTAAAAAATTGTCTGTTTTTTCAAATATGCACCTGATAAAGTGATCACCAGAAAACTCTGGAATAGGACTTTCAGACTCAAGTTATGACTTTAACAATGAACATGAGAAACAGCAATTTTGCGGTCAAAACAGACCAAATTCACTTATAAAGTGATTTACTCTGAAACAAGATCAATGTACTTCAGTATTGCTTTTGATGTCTTCCTATTCTACAGTTTCTTCGTTATCACTGTACCACTAAATTTTAGATATTTAACAACAATTTCTAATCATATAGTGTTACGCAACTATGCACCTGATAAAGTGATCACCATAAAACTCTGGAATAGGACTTTCAGACTCAAGTTATGACTTTAACAATGAACATGAGAAACAGCAATTTTGCGGTCAAAACAGACCAAATTCACCTATAAAGTGATTTACTCTGAAACAAGATCAATGAACTTCAGTATTGCTTTTAATGTCTTCCTATTCTACAGTTTCTTCGATATCACTGTATCACTAAATTTTAGATATTTAACAACAATTTCTAATCATATAGTATTACGCAATTTGAGTGCCTGAAATGAAATAATTTCCATATCTTTAAATTTCTGTTATTTTTTTCTTAGGCAATTATTGAAAATATTCGCTTATTTTGAAATCCGGATTTACGCAATTTTGGAATTGTTCACTAGGAGGCAAAATTGAATCCGTTTTGGTTGTTTATGCGAGGCAGTCAAGGAAGTTATGTGCGCACGCCGCCGTGTTTAATTACAAGACAGAGAGAGCGCCTGTTCTAGCGTCGACGCTCGGCCCCTTAGCCTGTCCTTGCCGCAGCGCTCGGCCCAGAAAGTGTCTTAACCTAACCTAACCCTAAACTATATTCTTTTCTTTTTCTTCTTGTAATTCAACTCGGCAAGTGCATCATTACTTCACAAAACTTCAGTAAATTTTTTTATGAAATATTCGCATACTGGTTTTGTGAAATAGTCGAATTATCTTTTCCCCCGAAACATTTGCATCATTTCTCGCATTTTTTCGCGAAATTTTCGAATTTTTTCGTGAAACAAATTTAAGCGAAATTTCGCGAAAAAAACGAAAATTTTCGCATTTTTCACTTTTCACTAAAGGCCAAAAATGCGACATTTTTTCAAAACAATTTCCTTTTTCTCTGGAAACCCCAGTAATAAGTCTACAATGGTTTGATCCCTCCAGTTGTCTGCATGTCAATAGGTTGATAAAAGGAAAATCATCATCGTCCTTTTAATATTAATATTTTTTCATCAAAGTTCCGTTAAAGATTTTTTAGCAAATCTGAGCCAAAGAGACCGTAGAAAAGTTCTACGTAATAATTTAAATAATATGGATTGGGGTTTTGAATATGTTAAACCTGAGCAAAAAGGTAATTTAACATTACTGTAAACAGTACTGTATACTCTACTGTAAACAGTACTGTATACTCTACTGTAGACAGTACTGTATACTCTACTGTAAACAGTACTGTATACTCTACTGTAAACAGTACTATATACTCTACTGTAAACAGTACCGTATACTCTACTGTAAACAGTACTGTATACTCTACTGTAGACAGTACTGTATACTCTACTGTAAACAGTACTGTATACTCTACTGTAAACAGTACTGTATACTCTACTGTAAACAGTACTATATACTCTACTGTAAACAGTACTGTATACTCTACTGTAAGCAGTACTGTATACTCTACTGTAAACAGTACTGTATACTCTACTGTAAACTATACGTAAACTTTACTGTAAACCCTGTACTGTAAACTGTACTGAACAAGAAATATTTAAAATTATAATGAAACGTTTAATTTCTGTGCATTTGTTAAAATGTGTATTTTTAATTATAAGATTTAAAAGTAACAAATGAATAGATAGAATCTCATAAAACTTTAATAGAATATCTTAAAAAGAGAAATAAAAGTCAAAATGCTAGAATCAAGGAATAGCTGATAGGTTTTTTAGCATGATATAACAAACTTTAAAGACTTTTCTAGAAAAAAAAATGTTTGTCATTTGATGATCATAGAATAAACGGTTCTGTAGTGAGAACGAGTTAATATTTTGAAGGGACAATTTTCTTTAAAAAAAGTGTATAGTTTTAAAATTTCAAAAATTTATTTGAAAGAAATATTCCAGCATTTCTCTCAGAAGCTTTGATCTAGATAATAATTGATAATAACAATCATAACAATAACAATGACTATAATAATAATATTAATAATAATAAAGAACCTAAAGAAAAAACATATGAAAATGTAAGGATACTGTAGATGGACGACCTGTGCTAAAAAAATCGAATTAGTCCTGTTGTAAGTAGGCATTTACGATTATAAGCCCAGAAGACTGTTTGGGAGAGGTTTGGAAGCCCATAAAGAAACCTTTAAAACGGTTTTTAAAGGCTAATTCAAGTTGGAGTTATTTGTTTATTTTTTATATAAAAAGAATTCAAGGATGTTGACTGTAAACATTTGACAATTTTCAAATTTGTAGGTTTTCAATTTATTAGCTAAAATTTCTGACAAAAATATTAAGTTTCTTTAGGGCATGCCTTTAGCTTAAAACTTTAATCAACTTTTTTTTCATACATTTATCTTTAACTCATTATAAACATGATAGTGTATCCAGGGTTACCCACAAAACATGAAACAGTGATGACGACCTGGAGCTCTTAAACATAAACAACAATCTAAAGGTTGAATTTAGTTTCTGGCTGAAATTTTGTCTCGTCCTTTGTGAGTAACCCTGAATTGTCATAAACAGTAAAAACACAGTAATTATAAGAAAGATACAAAAATATAATTTTATTCATGTTTAAATGAAACCAACTTATTAGTTTTTTGACGATTGCTATGATATGATATGAAATGAAAAAGAAATATAACTATTAAATTGAAAACCTACAAATTTGAAAATTTTGTCAAATGTATTCAGTCAACATTCTTGAATTCTCTTTATATAAAGAAAGAAAATCTAAAAATTTATCAATTCCATAAAATCCCTCTTAGAAATATTATAACTCTGTATACAAGTGTACACTGTACAGCGTTGGGTACGTAAACGTATCTAGATGTACAAAAACAACCGACCACTCCATTAATTAATTAATAGGGAGGTCGGTTGTGTACATCTAAGCTTTACCTCTTTGTTTCCTTTCTCTATGGGTGCGGTAAGGACATGCTTGGGAAGTTTCCGTTTGGGAAAATACTTTCGGAAGAAGTTGCTGCTTGGTAAAAAAACCTCGATAAAATACCTATAATATCAAAGAAAGTATAAAATACTAGATTGAGAACCCAGCTTTGCCCGGAAACTGAGTTTTCGTATTATTATTGTCAACCCACTTAACTAAGAAATTTTTAACAAGACGATGAACGTTTGAGTTGTTCAAAATTTGAGGGAAATTGATGGGTTATGATTTGGCATAAAAACAAACAAATAGAAATTACTTGGTTACGCATACTCAATGGATATATATATATATATATATATATATATAACATATGTAACTAATAGAGTAAAAGGGGCTCCAATTCGAAATTTAAATTAATTTAACTTAGCTATATTGAGCTAGAATTTTTTTTTTTTTTTTTTCAATTTACAAGGGAGGAGGAGAAGTTTCAAATTTGTCCAGTGGGAAATGCTTTCCATACACCACAACCCCCCCCCCCCTTCCTAAAAAAACAATAGTTCTCCAAAATGTGCATGATTTTACGCAAGTAATCTAATGGCATTTTAGCAATCACTTCTTTTAAACCAAAGTCAAAGAGATAAGGGCCTTGTACATAAAAATATAAATATTTAGGACCGTTAAAAATTATAAGTGAGTTAGCCTAGAAAATTGGTGCACTATTTTCATACCTGGATCTCTGTGATCTCTGTGATCTCTGCTTGTTGGCAATTCTGTATATCATAAAAAAGATTTATTCACAACAAAAACATGTTTTGATTTGAATACTTGTCAAAATGATTTTATAACTTAAAACTCAGTGTTGATGATGATTCAAACTTCATAAAGTAAATATGTGTAAAATACCCCCTCCTCGGTAAATGTATAAAATATCCCCTCCTCGGTAAATGTATAAAATACCCCCTCCTCGGGAAATGTATAAAATTCCCCCTCCTCGGGAAATGTATAGAATACCCCCTCCTTTGGAAATGTATAAAATACCCCCTCCTCGGTAAATGTATAAAATATCCCCTCCTCGGGAAATGTATAAAATACCCCCTCCTCGGGAAATGTATAAAATACCCCCTCCTCGGGAAATGTATAAAATACCCCCTCCTCGTGAAATGTATAAAATATCCCCTCCTCGGGAAATGTGTAAAATACCCCCTCCTCGGGAAATGTATAAAGTACCCCCTCCTCAGGAAATGTATAAAATATCCCCTCCTCGGGAAATGTATAAAATACCCCCTCCTCGGTAAATGTATAAAATACCCCTTCCTAGGGAAATGTATAAAATACCCCCTCCTCGGGAAATTTATAAAATACCCCCTCAAAATGTATAAAATACCCCCTCCTCGGGAAATGTATAAAATACCCCCTCCTCGGGAAATGTATCTATCTATCTCTCATATTTATCAAAGCTTATGTTTAGTGTGCTAGTAACTGTGAAGAAACGCACAACAGTGATATTAACGCGCAATGGAACAACATCGCTCTAATCATTCTTAATTGTGAAGTGGAATATTAGTATATGTACAATGCGTGTACATTATACACATTTTAAAGCATTATTAATTACATGTACAATAATTAAATGTGTTAAAACGTATTTGTAAAATGTACATTATAAATTGTTTGATATACATTTTACATTAAATTAAATAAAACATTAAACATAATACATTTTAAATTATATATTCTACAATACAAAGTACATTTTGCAATGTATACAGTTACTGTATATTATATGTACAATGTAAATTTTACATTTAATACAACATGCATTATATAAGATAAATTTGGTCCCTCTTGCTCCCAGAGCCGTGAAATGATGCCTAATTGCTATAGATACAAATTACAGTAGACCATGGATAAACATAATATATATATGTACATTACGTATTATGTACGTCTAAACATTTTTTTAATTGATGAGGAGATCTGAAACAATTTGTATTAACAAATATGAATAACTAAGACTGCTCTGATTACATATCATATTTGTTACACTTAAAACAAAATAGAAAATTTACAATTTTCGAAGAAGAACATGATAGACAACTCATGTATTCTCAATCACGCAAAGCTTTTGAGAGTGCTGTAGTGAATCACATATGTCATATGTAACTCTATTAAGGGAAAGTCACCTTAAGTTAAACTCTGCTATGCAACCAAAAATAAATACATGGAATCAAACACAAAGTTTCGAGGTTGCAAAGTCATACCAGATATTCTGGTTTTTGAACAGATTCTGAAGTCAGTGGATTAGTTGGTGTGAGATATCATGAGTAACTTATTAATACATCAATCTGTCCATCTATGTATTTATCTATATATTTGACTTCATGTATATACCTATCTTTCTATTTGTCTTTCTGTCTATTTATCTATACATCTATCTATGTAAATATCCATCTATCCATATATCTATCTATCTATCTATCTATCTATCTATATATCTATCTATCTATCCATCTATCTCTCTATCTATCTGTTTATCTATCTATCTATCTAACTATGTATTTTCTATCTCTCTATCTATCTGTTTATCTATCTATCTATCTAACTATGTATTTTCTAATATCTATCTATCTATCTATCTATCTATCTATCTATCTATCTATCTATCTATCTATCTATCTATCTATCTATCTATCTATCTATCTATCTGGTCTAATTAAGTATAAACTAGCCTACTAGGTGTAGATATATATATGTGGGGGAAAGTAAGGCGGTAAAACTAAGACATATGGTTCAAATATTCCTCTCTGCTTTCATTCCTAACCTTAATATCCTGGGTACAGGGGTACCAGGTGGTCAGATATACGTCTACGACCAGGGGGGGGGGGAGCTTGTATCATTTTAGCGTTTGGTTTTAGATGAGACGAATTGAATTCGGTTTAATCGAGTAACACGTAGATTTTGGAAAATTGATTGCAGATTGTAATTAATCCATGTTTAATGTTGAATTATATATGTTCTGAGGGGAAGGGGGTGGGGGGTTGAAAACCAAAGTTAAACGTTAATATATTCATACATTTATACACAATTGCTCCTCTATACAAGAGAAATTACTTCCAAAAGCCTGCTCCCTGTCCAAGCAGGAAGTGTCAAACTATCTCATGGATGTTCCTGATTCTCTCTTGGATGTTCCTAATTCTCTCGTGAATGTTCCTAATTCTCTCCTGGATGTTCCTAATTCTCTCCTGGATGTTCCTAATTCTCTCATGGATGTTTCTAATTCTCTAATGGAAGTTTCTTATTCTCTCCTGGATGTTCCTTATTCTTTCCCGAATGTTCCTAATTCTCTCCTGGATTTTCCTAATTCTCTCCTGGATTTTCCTAATTCTCTCGTGAATGTTCCTAATTCTCTCCTGGATTTTCCTAATTCTCTCCTGGATTTTCCTAATTCTCTCGTGAATGTTCCTAATTCTCTCCTGGATGTTCCTTATTCTTTCCCAGATGTTCCTAATTCTCTCCTGGATGTTCCTAATTCTCTCCTGGATGTTACTAATTCTCTAATGAATGTTTCTTATTCTCTCCTGGATGTTCCTAATTCTCTCATGGATGTTCCTTATTCTTTCCCGAATGTTACTAATACTCTCCTGGATTTTCCTAATTCTCTCGTTAATGTTCCTAATTCTCTCCTGAATTTTCCTGGTTCTCTCCTGGATTTTCCTAATTCTCTCGTGAATGTTCCTAATTCTCTCCTGGATTTTCCTAATTCTCTCCTGGATTTTTCTAATTCTCTCGTGAATGTTCCTAATTCTCTCCTGGATTTTCCTAATTCTCCTGGATTTTCCGAATTCTCTCCTGGATTTTCCTAATTCTCTCGTGAATGTTCCTAATTCTCTCCTGGATGTTTTCAATTTTCTCCTGGATGTTCCCAAAAATCAAGATGAACTTAAGAACTCTTTGGACCCAATCTACCCAACTAGAGAACTTTCCTATTTAGAGGAGCAATTCTGATCCTAATGGGTACACAAAGAATGCCGCGGAGACCAAGTTTCCTAAGAATATGTCTGTATCTGTATTTTTAGTCATTCTTTATATGGAGGTTCCGTTAAAGTAGTATCGACAATACCTTTAATAATTTAAAAATTTATTTTCTTTAAAAATTTATGCAGTTGTCAGAACAGTTGTCTGATTTATTTGTTATCAAATTTATTTTTTGCACTTTTAATATTTGCATTTGTCAATTTATCAAAGATGACAGAGCAGATATTTGATAATATATATTTCGATATATTAAAATTTATATATATATATTTAGTTAATTCATGGACCATGAACATTTAGAGTTCAAGTGTAACCTTAGATTTATAGACTAAATAACAATTTATTAAATATATTTATTCTATAGGTTAAATAATCCAAAGATTAAAAAATCTATAGATTATAAAATCTTTAGATTAAAAAATCTATAGATTAAGTAATCCATAGCTTAAATAATCTATTAAATAATTAATAGAATATTTTATTAAATAATTCATAGAATATTTCATCTAAAGCTTATAATCTATATATTAAATAATACATAGATTTGATAATCCATAGATTAAATAAGCTATATGTTTATAATCGATATATTAGATTATCTATAGATTATATCAATCTATAGATTAAATAATCTGTAGATTAGCTAATCTAGAAGCTAAATAATCTATAAATTAAAAACCATGTAGATTAAAATATCATTATTATTACTATAGATTAGACAATCAATAGATAAAATAATCTATAGATTAATATATAATATTTATTATTATAGATTAGATGATCTGTATAAAGTAATCTTTAGATAAGATAATTTTTTGATTAAATATTCTTTAGGTTTAATAATCTTTAGATTGAATAATCTATAGATAGAATAATCTTTAGATTAAATAATCTTTAGATTAAATCATCTTTAGATTTAATAATCTTTAGATTAAATAATATTTACACTAAATATTGTTTAGATTAATTAATCTTTACACTAAATAATCTTTAGATTAAATAATCTTTAGATTAAATAATCTTTAGATTTAATAATCTTTAGATTAAATAATCTTTAGATTAAATAATCTTTAGATTAGATAATCTTTAGATTTAATAATCTTTAGATTAAATAATCTTTAGATTTAATAATCTTTAGATTTAATAATCTTTAGATTTAATAATCTTTAGATTAAATAATCTTTACACTAAATAATCTTTAGATTAAATAATCTTTAGATTAAATAATCTTTAGATTAAATAATCTTTAGATTAAATAATCTTTAGATTGAATAGTCTTTACACTAAATAATCTTTAGATTTAATAATCTTTAGATTAAATTGTCTTTACACAAAATAATCTTTAGATTTAATAATCTTTACACTAAATAATCTATAAATTGAATAATCTTTAAGGTTATTAAATGATCATTATATTATTTAATTTCTATTATCGATGACTAGAAAATGTTTATAGGTACCAAACAATCCACTCTATTAATGACGCTCACAATGACGATTACAGCCTAGCTTTAAGTTTTTCGGTTTCTTCTGTTTAAAATTCGATTAAGTTTTGGTCTTTTGATTCAACAGTTTTTAAGCTTTTGTGGTTTTTTTTACTTACAGATTTAAAACGCATATGCCGACAAATTAAAAGTATAATAAAAGAAAAAAGGCAAAACTAAAGATGGATAATTGATCAAATTGTGACAAGTTGATGGGATCAGGACCAAACTATTAATTCAGATTAATCCCAGCATATTAAAAACACTACTCATGTCAAAATTAGTTTAATTGTCCCATTTTTAATTTAATTTTTTGATTCCATATGCTCATATTGTTTTCACAGATGTATAATGTATATTTAGATTAAAATATCTTCAAATGGTTATGGCATTGTCCAAAAGATCTAAGTTATTTTTCTGTATTTTTTATTGTTTTAATTTGATTTATCAGGTTAACTAGTTTGTTGTTGATATATTATGTCCTTCGTTATTATTATTGTTGTGTATACAGCCAAAACTGAATCAAACGCCACGCTTGAAGGATGGACAAAATTGATAAATAGATAGATAGATAGTTAGTTAGATAGTTAGATAGATAGATAGATAGATAGATAGATAGATAGATAGATAGATAGATAGATAGATAGATAGATAGATAGATAGATAGATAGATAGATAGATAGATAGATAGATAGATAGATAGATTTATAGATAAAAAAGTAGATAGATATATAGATTAAAAGATAAATAGATATATAGATAAAAAGGTAGATAGAAATATAGATAAATAGATAAATAGATAGATAGAAAGAAAGATAAAAAGGTTGAGAGATATAAAGATAAATAGATACGTAGATAGATAGATAAATAGGTAATAGATAGATAGATAGATAGATAGATAAAAACCTAGAGATTGATAGATAGATAGAGAAACAATGTTATGTTTTATAATGTATTATACTAAATGGCTAAGCATGACTTTGGAAACTGAACACTGTAAGTTTAACTAATTGTTTTCATTAACTTATCGTATTTCCAGAGAAGAAAAATGATATTTTTAAAAATACGACTATAGAAAAACAGTCACGATGAAGTTAGTACTTTTCCTTGTTCTTCTTGTCAACCCTAGTACTAATGCAGCTGATCAACTTAATGTCTATACAAGACAAGGGTTTAGTGATGAATCGAAACCTGAACAATTTCGGACTTTGTTTAATCGAAATCAAAATGAGTTCAGACGATTGGGAGATACACCAGGTAAAGGACATGCAATTTTTTAAATTTAATATTTCATTCATTATTATTACTCGGTTTATGTTTTGTTTAGTTTTGATATTCTTATTTTTACCAAATAGATTCTAGTACAATAGATGGCAACGTAGAATTTGTACACTCTCAGTACAGCTGTATTCTGACGTCACAAGTGTCAACTCAGTTTTGTGTCCGACAAAATTATTAATATAAGTGATCATTTTAGAATAAAGATCTTATCTTACAGTGTATAAGGTGCCGTTTTATGTGTTATTTATTTTCTGTTTTGACTCTTTTTATTTAATCTTGAAAAACATGTCAACTAATGGGAGACAATTTAGTTTTCCTTGTTATATTTGACTCTTGTGACGTCATGTATAATTGGTCCATTTCTCTGTTGCCACCTATTGTACTTGATAATCTATTTGATTTTTAGCATTCTTAGCATTGATGTTATTTGTCCTAATGTTTCTCACATTTATTGTCAGTTTTATTGTTCTTGTTTTTGCAATTAGCTTTTCATCTTTTTATTGTTGAATTCACTATGTTTTTGCTTTTTGGAATAGGAATACGACAAATTATAGCAATACTTCAGTGTATTTGATGGTGTTACAAAGCAAATAGTTTAACCAGACACTTTTAAAATCTATATTTCTGTGAAATGGGTCTGTTTACACTGCACATTTGCTGTGTTTAATGGTTGTTGAACTTTTTTAAGTTAAATTTTGATTCTCAAAGTTGTCTTACTATTCCAGAGTTTCTGGTTACCACTGTGTATAAAATAATATGATTATTACATTTTTTTGTGATTTTTTTTATTATTATTATAATCATTATTATTATTATTATNCAGTTATTATTACAATTGTTATTTTTATTATAATTACTTGTTAATCTTAGGATTAATGTCAGCTAAGGTTCAAAGATGGATGAAAAGTTATCAGGATATTTTGGGTTCCAGGGTTCCTTCAAATTCCCCGGAAACGGAACCATCAACAGTTACACAAGTGTCTAATACAAATCTTAAGGACGCTTCCAAAAATACGGTAGTAAGTATAGATTGATAAAAAATGTTAAAATTGATAAATCTAAAAATAACTTTAAGATAAAAACATGATGTTATTTTATAAAGAAAAGGCAAATTTCCAAATTCCAAGTTTTTCAGTACAACCTTTAAATTTTTTAATATTTACTTATTGATATTTAAACCTGTATGTAGTATTGATATTTAAACCTGTATGTAGTATTGATATTTAAACCTGTATGCAGTATTTTCAAAATTAGTTTTTGTCAATTACATTAGACACATTCAAAGTAGACACGAGAAATACATCAGCTGTTTTTAGAAACATATTCGGTGATGTCAAGTTAAACTTGAAATAACGCTTACAGTCCCGTTAAAGACAGCATATCAGAGACGTATGTTTAAAGGAAAAATAGAAATTAGTAAATACAATAAATCTAAGATTTCTTACTACAAATCAATTTAATTACTAACTATCATATAAAGTAAGCTATGAACGAATCGTCACGCATCTAGGAAGTTAAAATTGCATTGCAAACATAATAGTTTTACATTTTTTTTCTTTTTTCTTTTTAATTAATTTTTGATTTATTTTTCTTATATTTTTCTAGTTAATTTTGGTTTATTATTTCCAGGAAGTATTAGAAACTTTATGATTTGCGACAAATAAAATTGTAACTATAACTGAAAACAGAAAAATCATTTAAACAATAATTTAAAGGGAGTGTTCTCGAAAATGAAAAGGGGTATAGGCTTACGGCGAAAAATAAGCGCTTTTGATTGCTACTAATCTTACTTCTATCTGTTGCGTCTATAAGGAGAAAATTTTTAAAAACGACTTATACTGAAGAACGTAACGTCCCTACAAATTGAGAAAATTGCAACATACGACTTTGATCGTAAAAAAATCCATTTAATTTCAAACAAATCATTCAGATATTACATTTCTGTATAGTTCATATTTCATAATATTTTTATTTGTTATGCACTTATGCGCCGAAATAGTTGGCCGCCAGGTGTCTCTGCTCTCGATGCTTTGAATGATGTCACGTGACATAGACTCCTAGCGGAAAAAACGTCGTTTCAAGTGCATTGCATATAAACAAATAACAAATATTATGAAACATTAACTATATTCGAATGCGTCGAAAAATAATCGATGTCGAAAGATTTAAAGATTTCAATGATTTTTTTTATATTAAATTGATTTTTCTACGATTCTAGTTGTATATGTTGCAACTTTCTCAATTTGTATGGACACTAAGTTCTTCGGTATACATCGTTTTTAACAATTTTCTCCTTATAGACGCAACAGATGGAATTTAAGATTAGTAGCGATCAAAATCCATTATTTATCGCCGTAAGCCTATACCCCTTTCATTTTTTGTGAACACTCCCTTTAAAGGAAATAAATGTTCGACTTTTTTATGTTCTATACATTTCTCTTTTTAATTGTCAATGTAGAAAAATAATATGTTTTAACCCTATCCTGATTGGGGTATTTTTGTCTAAGATAGATTTGGATGTTTTCAATCTTTATTATAAAGGTCTTTGCTCATATATATATATTAAGTTACAAAAGGCTAAAAATTTCAAATTTTTTTTTTATTATTTGATTTTTAATCCAAAATTTAAGGCCACACCGGGCACTTAAGCTAGTAATAAAAGTAATCCCTTTATATTCTTTGTACGTTTGATTTCAGAATAGAGCCGGATCTAATTCTCTTGATTTCAGAATAGGGCCGGATCTGATTCTTTGATTTCAGAATAGAGCCAGATCTGATTCTCTTGATTTCAGAATAGGGCCGGATCTGATTCTTTTGATTTCAGAATAGGGCCGGATCTGATTCTCTTAATTTCAGAATAGTCGGATCTGATTCTCTTGATTTCAGAATAGAGCCGGATCTGATTCTCTTGATTTCAGAATAGAGCCGGATCTGATTCTCTTGATTTCAGAATACAGCCAGATCTGATTCTCTTGATTTCAGAATAGAGCCGGATCTGATTCTTTTGAGTGCAGAATAGAGCCGGATCTAATTCTCTTGATTTCAGAATAGAGCCGGATCTGATTCTCTTGATTTCAGCATATAGCCGGATCTAATTCTCTTGATTTCAGCATAGAGCTGAATCTAATTCTCTTGATTTCAGAATAGAGCCGAATCTGATTCTCTTTATTTCAGAATAGAGCCGGATCTAATTCTCTTGATTTCAGAATAGAGCCGGATCTAATTCTCTTGATTTCAGAATAGAGCCGGATCTGATTCTCTTGATTTCAGCATAGAGCCGGATCTGATTCTTTTGATTTCAGAATAGAGCCGGATCTAACTCTCTCCTTGGAAATTTCTTTAAGGATATTATTCCATACTTTACGAGAGGTATCATTTATACAATAGTTTTACAATTAGTAGGCTTTCGCAGCTACAAAGCCAACAAAAAGTAGCCATATTTATTTAAAGAATTTATTCATATAATTTACAAGAATTAGTCATATAAATATTTAAATATAAGTCATTTATGCGATTTACAGTTTTAAAAACTTTTAAGTTGGTGTTTGTGTCTGATCAGAACAGTTTTTTCTTAATGCGATTTGAATAAATAGGAAAAATAAATTTTAAAATAATCCATTTATTTTAAATGTAGGCTCCTTTTGTTTAAAAGTAATATAAATCTTTAGTTTAAAATTAGTATCAGGTTAATCTGATATGTTGCATTCATTATCTCATTTTCCAGATACTGTTGATCCTAAAGATGACATTGAGACAGATGATAGTTACGCTGAGGACACATCTGAACTGATCTCTGACGCAATTGATGAAACTGAAGATGCGTACACAAGGACTGAAGATGCGTATACAAGGACTGAAGGGGAGGGGATTCAAAGACGAATTGGAATTGATAGCCTCAGGTCAGGATTATCAAAGGGTTAAAGGGTTATTAAAGGGTTATTCAAGGGTTATTAAAGGGTTATAAATAGGACTTCAAGTTAAAGTGAGTGTTTACCAACAAAAATAAGAATGTAGAATGACAATTCAATAAATTTCAAATCAATTTGTCCCATTTACTATCTGTCTATATCTGTATAGCGGTTTAAACATTTTTACATGAAAAACCTTTAATGAAAATTACGTCAAAATTACGTCACGCTAAGGTAAATTTAAACTGTTAAATAAGATTGCAATTACAATTACAATTACAATTGCAATTACAATTACAATTACAATTACAATTACAATTACAATTGCAATTACAAATTACATCAAAATAAGGTAAATTTAAACTGTTAAATAAGATTGCAATAACAATTACAATTACAATTACAATTACAATTGCAATTACAATTACAATTACAACTACAATTACAATTACAATTACTATTGCAATTACAAATTACATCAAACTAAGGTAAATTTAAACTGTCAAACAAGATTGCAATCTTATATGTTTTTAATCAAACATTTTCTGTGTAAAGTTCTAACTTGCAACTGGTAAATGTGAGCATAATACAATACTTGTGCGTAATACAAAAAACTAGCGGAGTCACGAGGTCAAAAAGCTGTACCAGTTAAAATGATGTTAATGTTTTCCGTAGATAAAGTATTTTAGAACAAATATTTGCACCCAGGGTCTCTAAAATCCTTACCTTACTTTCAAGTTGACCAATTTTGACTTTAAATATATTCATAATCTTCCACAGTTGTCTCCGTCGTATGTTTTAATACAATAAAGACGACTTTCTACTTCAATTTTGATCAATCTTTTAAACAGCATGGGTACACATAATCATGGAAACAAAGTAAAACTATCAATTAACTTCTTCTCTTGGTCAGCTTGTATACTTGTTATTCAAAAAAACTTGTTAACAATCAAAACATGATAAAAAGTAGTTTTCATTGTATTGATATAAACGCTGAGCACCGTATGTAAGCATAATGTCCAGGGGTTGGAGAATGATTTGTGAAATTATTATTAGTAAGAGCGAAGATGATTGCAATATGGTGGGTTTTGTTGGTTTGGGAAAATAATAATTATTTCACAATTAAATATTTCTTTTTAAACTTTCAATCTTTAATAGTTTTAAACTAAAGCAATTGAAACTAGAACATGTTCAAATATGTTGACATATTTATTTGCTTGTCTTTGTGTTTTTGGTTTGTCTAAACGGCTGAACCGATCGGGTCAAACTGTTTTGTGTAAACAGCTAAATTTTAAAAAATGAGACATTATGAAGAAAACATGGCTACCGTTAAAGAAAATTTAAGAATTATAATCATTACAAGAAAGGGACGTGACGCCACTTTAAAGCCGAAAGAAAATAATTCTTTAAAGGGAGTGTTCGCGAAAAATGAAAGGGGGTATTTAAGCTTACGGCGAAAAATATTCGCTTTTGATCGCTACTAATCTTACTTCTATCTGGTGCGTCTATAAGGAGAAAATTGATAAAAATGACGCATACCGAAGAACATAGCGTCCATACAAATTTGGAAAGTTGCAACATTCAACTCTGATCTTAAAATAATCAATTTAATTCAAAACAAATCATTCATATATTACAACCAATAATCATCGATGATTTTTCGACACATTCCTACATAGTTGATATTTCATAATATTTCTTAATTTTTTATGATCTGAGAGTTACTTTTGCCAACTTTTATTCCTGTTTCAAGGATTTTTGATAATGAAGACGACATTTTCATATTTTCCAGGAATGTTCGAAAACCCAGCGCAAGCGAGATATTATTTAACAATATACGAATGCGTCGAAAAATAGTCGATGACTATGTTTGTGAGATCTGAATGATTAGTTTGGAATTAAATTGATTATTTGCACAACAGATAGAATTAAGTAAGATTAGTAGTTAACAAAAGCGATTATTTTTCGCCTTAACCCAATACCCCCTTTCATTTTTCGCGAACACTCCCTTTAGCTAATAAAAATAGGAAATTCTTATGTCTGTCCAATACTTTTTATACAATCTAAAATTTGTTTAAATTAATTTACATAAGTTACAAGTAAAATTTCTAAGTAAATTCTAAAATCACTAATTCAATCTAATTTTAGACGGCGGGGGGG